AATCTTGACACGTCAACCACTACGTCACATTGCAACGAAAGCCACGAGCAGGTGTGAATTTCAAGAAAGTCCAAGCCTTTTCCAATGTCATATTTTGCGATGAGATTGTCGATTAAGAAAACTTGTATTTGCTACATTAATCGACAGCATCATCAACTATTTTTGTTTATAAGAGGGTTTCCAGATTATCAATTGACCATATATGAGACGATTTTCTTGTTAGCCAAGATTAATTACTATTAGACTTTTAAATTCACCGTTTATAGCTAAATCCTCATGCTTTAGTAAATGAATGCTTTTAATTTATGTCAATTTTAATTTGTGTCAATGCGTCTTTTAATGGGCTAATTAATGGATATTGCCCTACAAGACTTTGCGATCTACCCGAGCTTACAGCTTCCGCGTGGTTTTTAGTCTGTAAGTTTCCTTACAAAATCCACGTTCAAAGATTTTTAAAAATACGGCACGTAAAGGAGTCCAGTCACCTCAATTACCCAAACGAACAAGGATGAATTCAGCATGTATGCCAGAAAACCAACTTAAAAATGGAAAATGAATAACATGAATTTTCATCTCTAATGAAAAGTCGATTGGAAGGGATTCGTGAATCAGCGTCACTAGGAGCCGGAGGCTTGCTCTGGAGGAGTGCAGATGCCCTTGGCTCGTCGTTCAACGACTCCGATGAACTTGTAACAGGTTTGATTCTGCACGGTTGTGAATGATACAGTTTGAGTGAGAAAGCTCATGTTTCAGAAAACCGCAGCAAGTACGATAAGCCAAAAAGCTAAAGGTGGCCTCATTTCGTTTACCCTAATTTGCGATCCTAATAAGAAGTTTCATGAATCACGAATTAAGTCTAGCCAACTTTTCCTATAAAATGAGCAGTCGTCATTGATTGTCCGTTAATACGTAGGCTTTCTGATATAAAAGCTTAATTCAGGCAATTTCGTTTGTGGTGAGAAAGGACTGTTAGTTGAATTTTCCCACAATTATATGAGCAGGTTTTGTGTTTCCATGCGATTTCATAAGGCCCTTTTTCCATGGATGAGAATTACTTTTGGGAAGCCCGGGGCATATTCTTTGCATTTTAAGAAATCAGTGACTATACATGACACGAAATAAGAACAGGGTTCATGCAATTTGGTTTGAGGTGGTGAAGGACTAATAGTTGAATTTTCCCAAAATCATATGCCAGCCACCCCAGCCTCACTCGGAGTGTGGAGCACACGGCAAGGCTGAGAACGATCGGGTACAAGAGGTGTGGCACAACACGGACGACCAACTTGGTTTTGCCGTGAGGCTGGCCTCGAGTCCGCCAGTAGGATGCTGTACCGGAGGCACTCGAAGGGCCCATGAACAAAAAAGCACACACCAATTAAACACTCCTCGAGAGACAAACAAAACAAGGAGTACATCTATGGCTAGACACGAACGCACAATTACATGTGTGCGCACACATGCACAGATATGTGAGTACTTTTACTCATATGTGCATACCTATGCCTGTATGCCTGTATACAGCGTGTGCGTGTGTGTGTGTGTGTGTGTGTGTGTGAATTTCATCGTTATCGCCGAATAATTAGTTTCCTCTCGAGATGCCCACCCGAATGACGGGTTGCTAGGCTGTGTGCGTAAGTGTGAGAAGGAGTGTGCACGAATGTACGTCAGTGGGTGAATGTGTGCAAGTGGTCATGGCTATTGGCGACCTTAGATGAGAGAACATCTGCGAGACAGATTGTTGTCTGCCTGTCGCAGAGACCGGCTGGATAGACAAGAAAAGAAGAGATCAATGCCAAAGTGACAGGGGTGAATGGACGGATGGATCAATGAAGAGGTGAAGAGATAGATGGATTGGTGAATAAGATAATCAACTGGTGCATTGATGGATGGGAGGAGGTAGGTACGGGTGGGTAGCCAGACGATGGATGGACTAATAAATGTATTGTTGAATGGATGATTGGATGGACGAATAGATGGATGGATAGAGTAGGACAAGGTGTATATGGAGCCGGTTTATCAGATTGGTGGGTGAGATTTCATGCTTAATGGAGGCAACGTGGTGGTGATGAGTGTACCTGTACTTTAAGGATTAACCACTCAAAGAGGGTTTGCACAAGAGACTTCGTAGAAGTCGAGTCGGCCCAGTGGAGTACTTTAGAGTCAGGCTGGGTCTATTGTTGTGACATTCGATTGTCCGAAAGACGGATAGGACAAAAGTAAAGCCAACTGGTTGAGCGAGCAAAGGAGGAACCAACTTATTTACGAGGCGCCTCGGCGGCCAGGGCCTCGGGGAGCCCTCCAACCTGATGATAGGGCTCGGTAGGCAGGGCGGTCTGACGGGCTAGCAACGCGAAGCGAGATGCACGAAAGAGGCGGAGAAGTGAAATGGACCTGAACCAGTCGATCGAGCCTAATCTTGCGGCGAGTGAGACCCAGAGTTATATAACAGCCTCGAGTAGGCAGATGGATTTGTGGTGTGGTAGATTGCAGCTGGTCTAAGAGCACACTTTACTTGCCTGCTCAGGTAAGAGTACATCTTCAGCTCTTGTTGTAGCATGACGAGCCGTCATTCCGCCAGTGGCCTAGTTGAGGTTGGGAGGGCTCAAGGGCCCCGAGCAAAAGAGGCGCTGCGAGTCGGTCTCCTGAGCTCGGCGCCCTCCAAAAAGAAGAGGCATCCATTCACATGCAGGCCTCGGGCCCAGTTCAGAGCCCGGAAAATCGGGGACGAGAAGAGAGATCAATCGCAAAAGGGCAGAAAGCCATTAGAGACAGACAATCCAACGGTCTTGAGGAGGCGTGATGCAACAGCGCATGCCGAAGATATGCGCTTCAGGCCGCGAGGTGTTGGAAAACGCATCGGAGAAACACAATTTTGGCGAGAACTCGATTTTCGGGCAACCACCGCAGTGGCATCAGATGCCAAACATAAGACAAGCTACTACTAGTCATGTTGCCAGGGTGACTTGATACAATTCCGGATGTTTCTCAGATCTTCCCAGCCAGCATCGGTCCACGTTCCGACGCTGTAAATCCTCCTGACCACGAGTCTGGTCAGGACAATTGAGAGGAAACGAGGCCAAACCGCTTGTATACAACAAAAGCAGACTGCGACCAAAATAGAGTCCACACTTTCGAGAATGTCCTCTAACAGCCCACTTGGTCGAGACTGGCTATCAAGAGCCTCCACATGTTAAAAGCGGTCCCAAAACAGACTTGATTTCGCCCTAAAATTTGATAACTTTTGTATCGCAAACCCAAACGGGACTGTCCCACTTCGACATCGTCTCGGAGTCATCCCTAACCTTGGCGGGACTCAAACCGTAGTTGCAGCAATGGCATTCAATGTTGCGAACGCAAGCTCAGTCGTGATGTGAGGACGGCTTGGTACACTCCAGCATCGCACCTCGGTCCGGCGATACAGTGGAAGGGGACTCTGGACAAACTGGCCTGGTCGAGATCGCCCTGACAACAGAACCATTTTGAGGAAACGAGACCAAACCACTTTTATACAGAGAAATAAGATTTCGACCAAAATCTAGATTAAATTATCTCGAAAGCCATATTGCAACCCCCTCGGTAGAGGCTAGTTATCATGAATTTGGCCTGAAATCCTGCGTATTGTCCACCTCAATCGTACATAATTGCCGCAACGACCTCGCTTCGGAGTCGCTCCCACCTCCGGTAGGAGTCAGACGGTGGATGTGCCGAACAAAAGCCGACATCCAAAGTAAAACTGGCAATGTATTCCACATGTTGAACCTGACTTTCAGGGAAGACAGACCTTTTTCAATTCGTAAACTTGGTAGGGACTTCTGCATCGAGAGGAGACCTTATTAAGCAGAAGTGCTGATGATCTGGATGATGTCTAAAACTCAGGGCATTCTGTTGGAAAACGACTAGTTTGACTGCATGGTACGGTGATTTACAGAACATGTGCAGATCATCTATAAGTGCC